GGAGATACCAAAGAGGGAAGATAGAAGCCAGTACATTCAGTCAAGCTCTCCTGGAACAGATTAATTAGTGCAAATAGAAAAAGAAGATACAAGCAGTGACAAGGTCTGAAAAGCAAATCCAGCAGCAACCAGCACACTGGGATCCTAGGCACAGGGTTATCAGTTCAAGGCCTAAGAGAACTAATAATAAACAGAGCAGTCATTACCACTGCTCAGTGCTTTCAAGTGCTTCATGGCACAGGAGAAGAGGGCAAGTCACACTTGGGCAGAAGGACATTGAAATAGCAGAGGTTATAGGAGAAAAGATGCAAAGAGTAAGTGATCAAGACAATTAGGAAAACACTAAGAGCAGGTAAGAAAACTTTAAATGCATTTGAGTGCCAAAGAATCTAGAGGGCCTGAGACAAGATGCATCAAGTGTCTTTCACCTATCACTTGGTTTCAGCAGCAGAGAAAGCAGCAAAGTGTTCAGTGAAGATCAATTCAAACTAACAGACCTTTAGGTAACACAGGAGCACCGAGTCTGTATCTAAGGATCAATGATGAACTTGCAGCAAGGAAACCCCCAGTGATGAAGATCAATTCGGCCTCCTGAGAAAAGGTGAAAGACAATAGCAGGATACATAGTAGGTGGAGAAAGCTGAATTCAGAGAAGACAACAGAGGCAGGGAGAAATACAAGAGGCAAGACAGGTGACAAGGTTAACACACCAGCTTCACAATCTGGCACAGGATGCAGCACACATCCTGCAGAAGAAACATCAGACAGGAAAATCCAAGTCTTAGAAAAAGATAAGACCTAGGGAAAAAAGTTATGAAAGCCATGGACGTTTGCTTATACAAACACAGATACACTAAAGAACGTGGAGAGGGGAAAAGGTATCAGCACGGGTATTGCACATTCTAAATCAAGAGGTGCAGGGCAAATCTGAGTATTGTCCTCAAGTAGGGATGGAGTGGAAGGCTATAGACTGTGGAAAATATTCACGGCTGCAACAGCAAGGACAAGAAAAATGTTTAGATAAAAAGGGCAGATTCCTAGAAACTGCAAAATGAGGGTGGTAAGAAATAGGAGAGGGAGAAAAAGGAATTAAGGAGAAAACCACAAGGGACAGATGGCAATGGCAACAAGGGATGTTTTCCTGTGGAATACTTCTGACAAGAAGTCTCAAGAACTCTCAGTCCAGTGAGCTTTGAAAAAATTCTGTATTACTACACAGAGCAAGACTGCCAAGTCTGCACCTTCCTTTGCCAGGGAGCAAGGCCTAACACAAGGAAAATGTATACTGGCACCTTATAACTGAATCTTCAATAGCTTTTTAACTCCTGAAAGCTTCATTTTAAAAAACAATACAAAGGAAGACCAGAGTACCCATATTTCCTTTCAATACTCAGAAACGCTAATATAAAGTCAATTGCTTGTTGTTCACAACACATCCTTCTCTTCCTTTGTTGGTTCAGTTCTGTGCACCCCTGAGATGTCCTCACAGTCTCCAAAGAGGACTACACCTACACAGATGTTTAACGCCACCTAGGTAGAGCTAGCAGCAGGCAGTAAAGGAGCATATTTGTCTCCTATGCACCTGCTCAAAAGATCTTCCTCTTTAGCCAGCCAGCAAAGCTGAGAGCACTTATGCCACCCAGGTAGGTAGAATGCAGCTACTTCATGGATCAAGTCAAAGTTGCTCGGAGAACCCCAACTTTGCATTTTCTGTATTCCTATTTATAAACCATGTAGATGTTTTCTAAATATTTACCGAGAACTTCCATTCCACTACGGCCGTCAGTCTGGCAGTGCTCTAATCAAAGCACCCCAAAAGGGCAGACAAGCATTGTGTACATACCTGCTCTCCTCCAGCAACTCTCCAGAGGTGTCTTACAGTCCCCAAAACATTCTGTTCCTTGATGATGATTCAGTACCAGAGAGGTGGACAACATACCAACCCAGTGTTTCATCTGTATGGAATAAGCCAAGAGTACTTCACAGCTTGAAGCACTCCAAAACTAAAATATGCAGCATAATGCAGAATGATATTTTGCAGCTGCAAGATGTCAGCTCCAAGCTGCAAACTCCTGTCTCTAACGATTCTTCTGCTATATGGGGGCCAGCTACATTACAATTAAAGACAGCAATGTAAACTTGGCAGTCTTCCCTATGTAAACTACAGCTAATCAGCTGCTAACAAATTCCTGGCACTCCAGCAGTTGCGTCAATGTCTAAAGGACCTTGAGGTTGGGGTTTTTTTGCCTCTTCAAGCGTCCATTCGCATGCAGCCTTCCCAGAACAACATAACAGCCATCAGCTGTCAGAGTAGGAACAAAGTCTCAACCAGCATATTCACCCACACAGAGTCACAACTCTGGAATGTCTTCAGAACAGGCTGTTCATCTGGTGACGAAACTACAGCTCTCACATAAAAAGGCAAATGTACTTAATGACCAAAAACTCCACACCCACTTCTGTTTTAGCCACTTGTAGATACTGGTAGAAATCACAGTGAGCATGGAGGCAAAAAATAAGCCCTAGTGTTATGTATCTTGGGTTTCTCTACCAGCAGAGCAGGTTAGAGAAGCAGACAGTGCAGGAACCCACCCCAGCAGCTTCTGATGAAGGCAGGGCCTGCCGTCACTGCCGGCTGCTTAGTGTGAATGAAGCATAGGTTATCATATGCTTTTTAGTGGAAAAGTAAGGTATCTGTTAGATCAGGCACTAAAAAGATCCAACCCACAGACAGTAGAGCACATGCCAGCAGAGGGAATGCCAGCCAGGGCTAAGCTAGGACTGACTCCACACCCATCCTGGTGCAATACCCTTTAAAGATGACCAGAAAGCTCTACCAGCCGTTTTTATACTTCTACTTGTGCCCAAGCTGAAGGAGATGTAATCCCCCAATGGCAACAACCCTTCAGCTATGCCAATGTCAAAGCTGTTTCCAATGCCAGTTAGATGCCTACAAGAGAGTGGCAGACATCGCCTTACTGATTTGAAACAGTGGGGGGAACAAATACAGAGCTTTAACCCTACTTCTGAACAGATGATTTCATAAAACAACTGCTTTGTAGAAGCCCCAAGTATCAGCCTAAAGGGATTTTCTGTTGTCTAATTCTGAAGATGTCCAACACCACAATCAGTTCTGAATTCTGATTCAAGCTAAACTTTTTTTTTTGTTGCCACTGCACTCAGTGAGGAGCAGCCTACAGCTCAGAAGGGAGGAAAATGGAAAGTAGGTTCAGCCTCCTGGCGAAGA